CTGCCATCGACATTTGCAGTGCCCTGGGAGGCCTCATGGGGCACGCATTCCTGGGTAGGGGTCCCAGGGGAGCAGTGGTTCAGGCAGGCTCCCCAGGTCTCCCACCTTCCACCTGCCTTCTCCCTGCCAGCTCTCCCTAGTGGAGTGCTGGCCTCACAGAAGAACTGGTCACAGTGGCCTGAAAGACAGCTATCAGAATGATGACAACTTGCAGAGACCATGAAGTGCCTAGTGGAGCTGGCTTCCCAGCTGAGGGCCCCATGGCTGCTCTGTGTTTCCTCTTGGCCTGTTGTTGTCTCCACCTTGAAGGTGGTGACCCAGAGGCTCAGTGAGGCTCATTATATCACTGAGGCCACACCACTGGTGGTGTAAAGCCCGGGTGCGGAGCTGGCCAGCACACGCGCGCCACTCATGACAGTGTGCATGTGTGTGTGCGTGTGTGTGTGTGTGTGTAGCTGGCTGGCACTTCGCAGCTTCCCATGATGGGGTATGTGCGTGTGTGTGTGTGTGTGTAGCTGGTTGGCATGCCCAGCCTCCCATGACGGTGTGTGCGTGTATGTGTGTGTGCACATGGAGGGGTGAAGGACAACAGTTGAGGGACTGCGGAGTTGGAAGCTTGAGGCCTCTGCCCATATCCCCCTTTGGAGACCCTGCTCTCCAGTGTCTCTCTGCTGAGGGTGATACTCTGACTGAGGGCTTCAAGGCTGTCAGGGCTGTGGTCCTGCTGCCACAACCCTGTGGCCTTAGTTCAGTGTCCATGTCTCTCCTCTGCCTTGGTTCACCTCAGCCCCTTCCCAGCCAGGCCCGAGGCCAGGAACTCTGGGTTGGCCCACAGGAACCCTGTGGCCACGAGACCATGTCCCCTCAGTGCCTGCAGGAGAGCAGGCTCCTCCCACAGGGCTAGGGATGTCTCAGGATGTCTCCCTCAGGATGTCTCAGTGGGTGTGCATGGCCCCCTGCTTTTGTGCTGCTCTGTGTGGGGGTGCCAGCTGGTCTGTGTCCTACGACCTGTCTTCGTAGCTAGAGCTGCTTCTGCTTGATGGTGCAGGGTTAATTAGTGTGACGTTGGTCACTGCTCTCCCTGCTGTCCCCCACCGAGCCGCCTCCTGGAGGTCTTCTCTGTGGGGAGCCCCTGGGGGCTGCTGCACACAGTGGGTTCTCTCCACAGTGTCTCTCCTGACCGACAGTACCCTGTGTCCGGTACCAGGAGCCTGCAGGCTGCTCCTCAGGCCTCTTCCTCCCTCCCGAGGCTATGGCAGCCCTTGTCCTTGGGAGTCACACGCCCCAGGAGGGTCCAGGGGCTGTGCTGTGGACATCACGACCAGCCCGCCGGAGTGTCCAGGCCGCAGGAGTGTCCCCTGCTCTCTGCAGGGGCGAGAGCTCAGCCTGCTGAAGATGGCTGGTGTAGATCCGCCTTTTGCTGGCGTGGTTTGTGGTAGACCTCTCACCTTCTGAGCAGGAAACCCAGGTTCGATTCTGGGGCAGCGCACCAGCTGTCTGTCCCTGAGGGCTCAGATGCTGTTGTCGGGCTGGACTAGTCCAGACCAAGATGGACCAGGAGGAAAAGCCTGGTATCTGCTGCCAAACACCAGCCTGTGGAAACACTGTGGATCATGGTGGGCTGACCTGGATCCAACCACAGGGACGGCAGGGGACAGCATCTGGTCTGACCCGGACCCGACCACGGGGACGGTGGAAGCAGCATCATTTTGTTCCGTTTACGTGGCGTCACCATGAGTTGGGCAACTTGATGGCAGCTGATAGCAACACCACTGTGCCACCAGAGCTAGTCATGGTGACACCATAGCCTGTTGATCTTGCAGATGCACTCAGCTGAGACGCCTGCACTGTGCCCATGTTCTCCCTGGGCTATCACTTGCCTGGGAACTACTCGTCCCAGTCCCCATCCTCGTCCTCCCTGCGGGCTTTGACCCTCTGTGTGGCATGAGAGGGTCTCTCCTCATCCCTGGCTGTGGCCCTGTCCTCCCTCTGGGCTTTGACCCTCTGTGTGGCGTGGGAGGGTCTCTCTCGTTCTTGTCCCTGTCCCAGTCCTCCCTGTGGGCTTTGGCCCTCTGTGTTGCATGTGTGTGTGTATGGGGGGGGGTCCTCTCTCTCTCTCTCCTCAGCCCGTGTCTGTCCTCGTCCTCTCTGTGGGCCTTGACCCTCGGTGCGGCGTGGTGGTGGTTTCTCTCTGTATCCCTGGGCTATCCTGCCCCCTCACTTCCTGGAGGAGGAAGGAATCTATGTCCTCAAGCCCCCCGACCCTGTGCCCTGTCATCGTCAGGCATGTCCTGGAAACCCTGGCCCCACCCCATGCACCCTCAAGTTGGTGAGTTTTAGAGCTGATCCAGGAGGAGGCTGTGGGGGGGAGCTGCCTGGCCAGTGTCTGTGGTGGGAAAGGTCTCTCACCCCCTAGATTGCCCTTCTCGTCTTGTGGTCCTGCAGCTCCAGGCCACGTCCCCACTGGCTCAATTGTGGGGATTGGCTTCGATCCCGCTTGCAGGCTGGCAATCCAGCCCGTGCCCACCCGGGGCCTGAGAGTGGATGGGCCCCCCCCAGGCTCTCCGCCCCTCTCCTGCCCCAGCCAGCCTGCAGGTGCAGCTGCTGAAGGTGCCCTCTCACAGCCCACCTTCTGTCTGTGATGGCAACACCCCAGGTGGGGGTTAGGGACCAGGAGTTATTGCCACTCATGGCTGTGGGGGCTGGGAGTCCAGACACAGGGCTGTGCTCTGGCTGCAGGCTCGGGAGGGACCCAGCCTCGTCTCTCGTGACTTCCCTTTGGCCTGTAGAGAAATCTTCACAGGCTGTCTTCCCCGGACGCATGACTCTGTTTCCTTGTCTGTTCTCGTCTTTTGTGAGGTCACTCAGGAGGGTTCAGATGGGGACCCACTCCACTCTGGTATGCTGATAGCATCTCCAGAGAGAACTCAAACATAGAGGAGACACTGTGTTCCCTAGGGCAGGTGACAGGGGATTGAGCGTGGTTCGTCTCTCTGAGGGGCACACTAACCCTCCAGTCTCCTTAGGGGCTTCATGGGGACCTGACCAGTGGTGCCTCTGACTTTGGGGATTGCAACCCATGCTCAGCTCACCCTTGTTCCCATGGCACTTACGTTCCTTGCTGGTCTTCACCCACAGTTCTCAGTGGTCCCTGCACACCCATCTCACAGGATGGAATGCTGAGGCCGGGTTCTGGCGGAAGCAGGGCAGGGTTGGGTGGCTGACATCAGGCCAGAAGCCACCCTCTGGCCCTTCCCACCACATCTCTGGGGGAGCAGCCAGTTGACAGGCCCGGTCATGGCAGGCTGGGGACGCCAGTTCCTGCTCCAGCCGTGGCGGCCACGTCCTCTCATTCACTGTGGGCTTCCTTTGACCCCAGGTACTCGCTCCCCAGGCCCGACACGATCTTCATCTGCAGCGCCTTCTGTTAGTGCCTCGGAGGAGTTGCTGATGATCACGGGAGGGGCGATTTGGCTGTTGCAGGTGGGGTTGCCCAGGGGCCCAGGAGGCGTGAGCAGGGCTCGGCCGGTGCAGCCCTGTGCCTGTTGGCTGGGTGATCAGTCACCAGCGTCTATTCAAGTGGAGACGGAGTAGACCTTCCACAAACGAATCCATCATTCCAAAGTCATCTTCTCAGTGGAACGCACTGTCCTGCTCTGCTAGTGACAGAACAATTTCTCTGGCAGGACAAACAGCCAGCTTTTCCCCTTGTGCTTCTCCGTCACCCGTGGGGATGTGACGGTGTAGAGCCTGGTGAAGGGGAGTGGGAGGAGATTTACTGATCAATAAGGGAGCTGGGGACAGCACCCGCACTCTGGCTCTGACGACTGTGCTCTGGTGACCAGCTCAGGACAATAAAAGTCGATGGGAAGATAGAAGATTTCAATAAAATGATGACACTCGGTGAGCTCGCCTGCAAAAACAGTCTCCACAGATGCGTGGCTAGATCTCAGTGGCTGTGTGACTTTAGTTCTTCACTCACTGCACTTTGGGTCATCAACTAATTGTGCTGCTCCTGGTGAGGGGACAGCTGCGTGTCTGAAGCCATGAGGAAGGGCGGGAGGGCAGGAAGTTCAGACAGCCACGTCTGTGAGGCCTGGGAGGGGTGACGTCCCTTGGGGGTACAAAGAGTGAATGTGATCAGGTGGAGGTGCGAGTCCACTCAGGCGCCTCGGAAGGAAGCCTGGTGATGTCCATGTGAAGAACCAGACCCTGGACACCCTGTGGGACTCAGTCCTCTCACACACATGGGCGTCGCCGGACGTCACGGTCCACCTGACGGCACCTGGGCTCACAGAGAGGTGGCAGGTGGCATTATTGCCTGGGAGGAGCTTGTCAGAGGGCTTGGTCTTCCCCTGCGGTGAAGGTGGTATAGCAGGAAGCAGCTGGGGTCAGGGGCGTGGTGGGCCTCAGCTCACGGAAGAAGGCGGACGCCCCAGTGTCTTGTCTCCGGGCAGTCTGACAAAGCCGGTCCTCCCTGTTGGGTCCAGCAGTCTGCCCTTCCCGCTGGTTCTGGAGTGGGCCGACCTGGAACCACCAGAGGCGCTGCCCTTGGGAGGAACAGGCTGGGGGCGTGGTGGGCCAGGGGCAGGCTGGACCAGCCCCTCCTCCCCTCCCAGACGTGTCTGCCCCTGGGATGCACCTGGGACAGCGAGGCGTTGGCCTTTCTGTCGTGTTGTGAGGATCACCATTTCCGGGCCTGAACACTTTGTCCGTTGCGGTCTCTACAGCCCTCCTGGGAGACATGCCGAGGCCCCCCACTCCCCGGCTGTGCTGGGCCCACCTGGTCATTCAGAGCATCTGAGTCCCTTCCCTGGCACTCTGGGCCACTCTGGAGCCTTCAGTAGCAGTTGTCCTTGGCGTGGGGGCCTGCAGGGCACAGTCCTGAGCCCTTGGACCTGGGACTCTCTGCTGATGCTGCATTAAACCCCAAGCCTGACCCTAGCCCCATGGTACTGCCCTGGCCACCCACGCTGACCGTCTGCCCTGTCTGTCCACAGGAACGGGACGGCATGCGGGCCACACTGGGCTTCTACGACAGTGAGCTGACACCGGCCGAGCACTCGCCACAGCTGACACGTCGCATCCGGGAGGCTGAGGACATGGTGCAGAAGGTGCACGCCCACAGTTCTGAGCTCGAGGTGAGCAGGGCCGCGGGACACGTGCCTCCTCTCTGGGCGAGCTCTTGGTGAGGCGGGCAGGCACCCCTCCCTTGCCCTAGCAGGTGTGCTTGACTTGCACGTGCATGGGTGTATGCATGTTAGGGCATATGTGTGAATGTGTGCATATGTGTGCGTGACTGTGCACGTGTGTGCATATGGGAGCATGCGTGTGTGTATGCATGCATGTGCACACACTGCCAGCCTTCCTCCCGAGGGATCTGGGTGCCACAGTGAGGAGCAGCCCCCTGAGGAATCGCGTACTCCAAGGCCTCTGATCTCACTGTCTGGGGGCTGGAGCTCTGGCTCTGATGTGGGAACTGCCCGCCTGGCCACATGACCTGGCTACGTTTCCTGCCTCCCTGCGTCAGTGAGCTTCCATGGCATTGCTGGGCCACAGGCCTGAGTCCCTCTCCACTTGGTCAGCTCAGAGACAGGTGGCCTCTTTTGTGTGCCACCTGGCAGCCGCTCCGTGTCCTGTGGGCCTGCAGGGGCCCCTGCTCAGGGGCAGGCAGCGCCATCCTGGCTTCCCGACGTCAGGAGCCCTGTTCAGCCGCTGCAGTCCCCCATCCTGCGCCCTGCCTCTGCTGCTCTGTGCATCTGGTCCTTACTGTGGCTGCGAAATAGGCATTGTTGTTACTCTTGTTCTGTTGACCAGGACCCTGCCACACAGGGGTCCAGGCCACTGAGCCAGCAGGTGACAATTGTTGGCCGCCCCTCGGGGCTCAAGTGACCAGTAACTTGGTGCTGGCCCAGTGTGGTCCACGGACCTGAGGAGCTGTTGTGGGTCCGGGTGCCCATGCTGACCACACCGGACCCTGACTGTGGAGACTAAGCCTGAGTGTCCCCTAGTGGGCCTGATGGCCTGTTCCTCACTCAGTGATGCCCACGGACTGCCCTGATGTGCCACGATGGCAGATGGCATGGGCAAACACAGCCCAGCCCCTGAAGGGCTGGGTTTCGCAGGGGAGGCACGCCCACGTGTCCGCAGACAGGTGATTCTGCTTGTAGCATGTCTGAGGCAGCTGCCCGCTGGACACCAGCATCCCTGAGCACTGGCCCTGTCCTAGGGTCACAGCGGTAACATGACTGATCTCATCCTGGGCTGGGGGAGCGGTGGCAACGTGACTGAAGATGTGCGCCATGGGGGCTGCTGTTCTAGTCAAGTGAGCTGCGTAACAAAACAGGCAATATGTCTTGTGTAGGATGAAAAACAGTGGTACAGGCAGACAAGACGTCCTGGGGATGGGGTGTGCCGACTGGCGCTCCCAGGGGTGTCCATGTTCATGTCACGGATACAAGTGAGGAGGTGTCCCCCCAGGGCTGTGTCCGTAGCAGAAGTTGACAGATGGCCTGTGGGTGACGAGGGGAGTGTGGACACTGTGGAATGGTGTGTGGGAGGGCCGGGGTAGGGAAGACGTGGGGCCAACAGTGCCAATCACACTGAATGGTCTCCACTGGTACTCTTGGCGACTGGAGTAGGAACACGTCCAGCCTAGGGCACAGTCCCCACTTCTCCATTAGTCAAGAACAAACCTGAAGAGATCACTCATCAAACCATGGTCCCTGGGTGTCCCGCGGCCACAGAGTACTGGGCTGCTGGCTGGCGGTCTGTCCTGTGGTCTGTCCTGATGCCCACTTCTCCTTGTGTGTCTTTGCTGTGTCTGTGGCAAGAAGCGGGCAGCTGGCCTGGGTGGTCAGCCCCGCTGAGGGCTGCCGCTGACCCCGTCCTCTGGGTTAAAGTTGACTCTGCTGCAGCCGTGAGATCATTACAGATCGACGAGAGCTGGTTGCCATCACATTGCTGGCCGTTTGGCGCCACACGAAACATTAATGAAGAGAGACTCATGAGGCGGGACCCTCTGATGCTTGCCATCATCCTTGGCATTTTTTATGCTGAGAGATGGCTCCTGGCTGGGTGCACCATGTGCACTCGTTGGCTAATCGCTGGCTGACAGTTTGGGTATGTCACATGCCATATGTTCTGGGTGTCTGTACACCGGGACGACCAGCATTATCATCAAAGCAGCCTCACCAGGGCTGCACATCTGTCCCCAGATGGGGCCCTTGGCCAGGGGTTGGTGCAGCCCACAGGCATGGTGGAAGTGCTGGTGCTGTTTCTAGGCCCCTCCCATGCCCGCTGTGTCTCCCTGTCCCCAGTACTCCTGTGGAGACTGCTTGGCCTGGTTCACCCTGTTGTCCCACTTTTGCACCAGTAGCCCTGCCTCCACAGCCCCAGCAGAGGAGGAATCTACAGAAGGGTGAATGCATTCATGGACAGATGAATGGGTGGATGGATGGATGGATGAACAGATGGATAGATGGATGGGTGGATGGAGGGGTACAAGGATGGATGGATGGATGGATGGACATACGGATGGATGGTGGACGGATGGGTAGATGGATGGATAGATGGGTAGGTGGATTGGTGGATGGATGGATGGATGGGTATATGGTTGGCTAGGTGGATGAATGGATGGATGGGTGAATTGATGGGATTGGGTGGGTGAGTGGATAGATAGATAGATGGGTGGGTGGGTGGGTGAATGGATGGGTAGATGGTTGGATGAGTGGATGAGTAGATGGATAGATGGTGAGTGAATGGATGGATGGGTGGGCAAACCAGTGCATGAATGGTCCTATAAACACTTAAGTGGGTTGGCTGATGGATCAAGGGGGGGTGCATGGATGGATGTAGATAGACAAGTTTATGTTTGGATGGATGGGTAGATGGATGGTTGGGTGGGTGAATGGGTGGGTGGACAGATGACTGATGGGTGGGTGGGTGAGTGGATGGTTGGATGAGTAGATGGATGGGTGAATGGATGGATGGGTGGTTGGGTAGATGGATAGGTGGATGGTTGGGTGGATGAGTGGATAGGTGGATGGATGGGTGGATAGATGGGTGGTAGATGGGGGGTGGCTGAGTAGTGGATGGATGGGTATGTGTGTGGATAGGTGGATGGGTGAATAGATGGGTGGGATGTGTGAGTAGATGGGTGAATGGATGGGTGGGTAGATGGGTGGTTGATGGATAGATGCGGGGGTGGATGGGTGGGTGGGGGTGGCTGAGTGGTGGATGGATGGATGGGTGGGTGGATAGATGGGTAGATGGATGAACAGGTGGGTAGATGGATGGATGAGTGGTGGATGGGTAGATGGATGGGTGGGTGGATGGATGGGTGAATGGATGGGTGTGTGGGTGGATGGGCAGATGGATGGTTGGGTGGATGAATGGGTGGGTAGATGGATGGATGAGTGGTGGATGGGTAGATGGGTGAATGGATGGGTGGGGGAATGGATGGATGGATAGGTGTTTGGGTGTGTGGGTAGATGGATGGATGGGTAGATGATAGATAGATGAGTCGTGGTTGGGTGGAGGGGTGGCTCAGTGCTGGATAGTTGGGTGGGTAGATGAATGTCTGAGTTAATGGATGGGTGGGTGGGTGGATGGTAGATGGGTGGATGGATAGATGGGTGGTGGGTGAGTGGGCAGGTGAATGGTGGATGGATGGATGGGTAGATGGATGGATGGGGCGGGTAGATGGATGGATGGATAGATATTTGGGTGGGTGGGTAGATTGGTGGATGGATAAATGGGTGGTGGGTGTGTGGGTGGATGGGTGAGTGGTGGATGTATGGGTGTGTGTGAGTGGATGGGTAGATGGATGGATGGGTGGTGGATCGATGGGTGGGTGGATGGATGTCTGGGTGAATGGATGGGTGGATAGACTGGTGTGTGAATGGTTCTTCTATACACACTTGAGAATGTTGGCTGATGGATGAGTGCGGGCAGGGTGCCTGCATGATAGATGGCTTTTCTCCTTGTGACCCAGGTTACCATGACCAGTGTCTGTGTTAGGATTGAAAGCTTACCCTAGGCTCTGCTGCTCCTTCCCCTGAAGTTCTGTGTCTCAGAGCCTGGAGGCCATTCCAGGACCTGGGCCTGGGGTGCTGTGGGCACTGGCTCTGCTCCCGACTAGGCAGCTGGTGCCGAGGCCTGGCCTCCTGGTGTACCTCCCACCCTCTGCAGCCCTGGCAGCTGCACCTTGGCCAGTGGCCTCAAGCTCCCTTCTGGATCTGACCATCATACTTGCTCTCTTCCACCCATCACCGGGTCCTGCACACGCTCTCTGGAAGGATTGGGGTCTGACATTGATCAGGGGGCCCTGCAGAGTTCTACCCCATTGAGGGCAGATTGCACTTTTAAGTCTGGCAGGATCCCCTGCCCCTTGCCTCGTACTGCTGTCTCTGAGCTGGGGGCCAGGATGACCTGTTCCTGTGCCCTGGCAGGTAACTGGAAACCACTTGTCTCCCAGTGTCTGAGATGAGCGGGCTCTGCCTCCTCTGGGGAAGGGACAGTTATGGTTTGATCCTGTTTGCTCTGTGGTGTTGGGCCGGGTGTCAGGCCTGGCTGGCCAGGGGCCTGTGTGCCAGGTGGAGTTTTGTCCCCAGAGCTTTGAGTTGGAGACCTGAAGGATTCCATCCTGGAGCGTGGGTGAGCATCCTGCTCCCCACTGGGTGGCAGCAGATGGGCCGCTGGTCCTACTTCTGAGAACTGGGCCCAGCTGAGCCTTGGGGTGGGGGCAGGGAGGGGCGGCGGGGAGGGAGGAGGGGTGGGGAGGAGCACTGGTGTGCAGGCTGCCCCTGAGGGAGCCCTGGGGAAGGGGTTCCAGGGCTGTGGGTAGGGTAGGAGGCAGGCAGAATGAGCTTCGTCTCCCCATATCTTCTTGGGAGTACCTGGATGTCCCGAATGTTAAGCCCTTGACTGCTAACCAGAGGTTGGTGGTTTGAACCCACCCAGAGGCTCCTGGAGAGGAAGGTCTGGGGATCTTCTGAGACTCAGCCACTGGAAGTCCAGCAGACTCTGCTCTGACACGTGGGTCACCGTGAGCTGGAGTCATCCGGCCCCTGGCCGGGCCTTGGTGCTCTCTCCTGCTCGCCTCCACACACCCTCCTCGTTTCCTCCCCGCCCTCTCTCA